AGCTCCAGCGGACACAGCTCACACCCCCCCACCCCCCCCCGGCAAACAAGGCTCCCACAGGCTGGCACAGCTCGCCTGAGCTCGCTTTCTTGATCTCAGAATTGAAAAACGTTGCCCCTAAAAGTAGGTTTCCAGTTTGAGGCACTGGAGCGGAGATGCTGCACAGACCAAGGAGGAGGAACAAGATGTCCAGTTCAAGGAAAAAAGGAGCGGAAAGCTCTTCCCCATCTCCGGGAGGGATTGCCTCCTTTGGCACGTGACCCAAAGGAAGGGGAGCATGGTGCTATGGGCACAGGTTGCCCCCTGAACATCAGCCTGCTCTCCCAGCCGCGTCCTCTACGGCACATCGAGTGCATGGAACCACCCCACCTGGCTTTTGGGAAAGGTGAGCACGGGGAACTCGGGGGCGAGCTTGGAGAATCCTACTGCTCATGACCCTCGAAAAGCCGAGTGAAGAACATCACCTTTTAGTGCTAATATACCCAACTCTGGTTAACGCACCTGCGATGTACTCGGGTCACTGCCGCTTGATGCCACCAGCAGGTCCCCCGGTGCTGCTCTCCACGGGCGTTTGTGAAGCTCAGAGGGGACGGGCAGAGGCAGCAGATCCGGACAGACACCGGGACTGAGCCAGGCTCCCTGCTTGGGATAGGGGTGACATCCCAGCGGCACGGCCGGCCAGAGCACACCGACCCCAGGAGGGCACCCGCACGCCCTCGGCCGAGAAGGACACTGGCTGGCTGCAACGCATTTTGGCGGAAGCCAAGGTTTGAGTTCAAGCTGTGATGCTTTAGTGGATGGAGATCTTTATTCCCGAGCGCTCTGCATAGCCGCTGCTCCCTGGTACTCCCTGGGACCACAGAAGGCGACGGCGGTTTAGGCTGGCTTTGGTGTGAAAGAAAAGAAAAACTCAAAGCTGTTATTTCCCCACGACGACCCGAGACCCACACCCTGCACTAAGGGACGGCCTTCGCAGTCAAGGCCCGCCTGGATGAAGTCCTGTGTAGAATGCTCTAGGAGAGCCTGCTTTAGCAGGGGGGTTGGACTGGATGATCTCCCGAGGTGCCTTCCAACCCTTGCGATTCAGTGATTCTGTGATTCTGTCACCGGGGAGCAAACCACCAAAAACTGCATCAGGAGCAAGTAATGAATCCAAAGGCAGAAGAGGAGGTTTGGTGTTACAGGAACAGCCGTGGGCACAACAGGGACGCGTCAAAAACATGAGCCTTGACGTGCAGTTTCATCTGGCAAAATAATATTGAGACGAAAAGCCTCCCAAAGGTCTGCTGTTGTGTGGTTTCATGAAGGGGTGAAGCTCAGCAGTAAGAGCAAAGTCAGCCTGTGTGCAGCCCAGGACATAACCGAATATTTTGCCTAAGAAGGATTAAGAAAAACGGCGAGTACATTACAGGGAAGAAGTTTTTACAGTCCTCTGCTCTTTTCACCCTTCAAAACAGAGGCTGCAAGGAGCATTAAGGCTGCCCGTAAACAAGGCTGAAGGATAAAAACCAAGGAGAGGAACCACTTCTTTAAGCTAAAGGTCAGTGCTGGTACAAAGACCGTAACTATGTTGGTGTGGGAATAACAAAAAAAGATTTCTCACCCTTGATATTTTAACCCACCAATATTCCGGAACAAGCTTCCCCTGGGCGTCAAGAAACCCCGGGCTTTTCAGAGGGAGCTGCTCAGCCGCTGGAAGACGCGATGCCTGCTGCAGCAGAACGAGCCCTCCTGGCCCGAGGAGGTCCCACCTGCAGCACCCCCGGCTTATGTTCCCCCTTCTGCTGAGATCAGCGTTAATCTCGACTAATGTGTATCCTTAACGATGAGGATGACTGGGGGGGAAGCAGTTCCCCCTCTTCTTATCCATTAAGCAATTCTGGTGCCTGATTAAAATCAGCTTGCACCCGAGTTGTGATGGGGTAACTGATAAAACTTTCATATGCATTTCAAAGTGTTACTGTCAAAACACTACTACACTTATTAAATGCAAAATTACCTTTATGGCTTCAGGAAACCATTCAAAGAATCACCTTTTTATAGAATCCCGAGTGACTAAGCGATTCTTTGTGTTTCTGGTGACGTTGCTCAAGAAACGTTATGAACAGAAAGAAACGGGGCGAGCCTAAGCTAGGCGATGGTCTGGCTTAGACAAACATTCTTCCTGGTAGAAATGAAGCAGCAACCAGCAGAGAAAGTGCAAAGGTCCCAGGAGAAGTGGGGACAGGAGGGAGGCCCAGGGCTCCGGCGCTGGCGACTGCTCACCCGGCTCCGTGTTACAGCAGGGCCCCGATCCGCCCGGGCGCTCCCCAGGCAAGTGTCCTAACGCCTGCTCGATTTAAACATACCGAGGCAATTAAAATCTTTTCATAAACGTTTTGAAAGGTTTTAAGCTCTGTCAAAAGTTAGAAATTTGAGCTTTTTTCCAATTTCAAACCTTTTTTGCCTGCACAACCCTGAAGTTATTTCCATATCTTCTGAGCAGCCTGAAACCTGTGACTGCGAGAAATAACTCAGAAGATCAGATTTGGAATAGGAAACCCGTATCCAATAGGTGGCGTTGCCCCCTAATAATCATATCTGACACTCACCTGATTTTTCTGTCTCATGAATAATAATAAAATCTGCAAAGGACCCTGCCCTGGTTATCCTGACAGTCCCTCCGGTCATCCCCATCGCCGCTTTCCAGGATCTATGTGGGCGCTTGCCAGGAGAGTAAGAAAACAAGCGTTGTGAATATTCACCACCACATCAAATCAACCGAGCCGATCATCCCGACCATTCACTGGTACAAAATCCGGAGTTGGCTCCAGGAGCCCAGGCTGCCAGGAGGCACGGCCGAGCACGCGCTTTGGAGAAACGGCGCAAACGGGAGCTGTGCACCGTCCCCTTCACAGCTGCTCCGTATTGCACGGAACCCCAGGACAAGGTCAAGAGAACAGGAAGGTATTTCAGCACGCCGGCCCAAGCGAGGGCAAATCTCGCCAGAGGGAGGATTTTCATGGAAGGTTTAGCCCTAAACATACACGCAGCCGCGAGCACGCTTTGCGGTCCTGCCTCCCCGCGGCTCTGGGCTCCGGCAGGGCTGCTGTGGAGCAGCAGGCTGGGCAAGGGCTGTTACGGACCGCCCGGCGAAGCCAGCGAGCCCGGAGTTACCCCTCGCACCAACAAACCCCTCTGCTCCCCTTGGAGCCAGCGCGGCAGCCGGAGTAGGGATCCAAGTTACAAGTGCAGGGGCTGGTTAACCCTCTAACCAACAGGCACCGGTGAAACGCTGCTGCTGAATGGAAGGACGGGTTTTGTCCGAGGACAGACGTAAGGGATGTACAGCTGCGCTCTTCAGCTCTCCCTCCCCAACAGCACCAGGAATTAGCTGTCTGTTTGAGGTGCCAAGGCTTCCCAGACTTATCCCAGACTTTGTGCTCTCCGTTTCCAGTGCGATGACGCGCACCGGGAGGGACCGTGGTCCGTGTCTCCCAACGGCCAGCGAGATGCGCAGCCGCCTCGGCACGCTGGCTGCTCAATAGGTGGGGAAAAAAGCCACGCTACAGGCGCCGGCTCCTGGCACAGACGAGCAAGGAAATGCATTTGGGAAGGGATACAGCTCTGCGGCACGGTGGTCATCGTGGCTAGAACTGCAGGACAGCAAAAATGCTCAGTGACAGGGGATATAGCGATATGCAGCAGGTCCTGCGGACCCATTTTACAGATAAATTAATAAATCACGATCAGAATGACTTAAGCTAAAACAAGATAGAGCAGCCCACATTTCCTACTTGCCTGCATTATAGAGCTATTTATACAACAAACCTGGCCACCTTAGCTTCCATAGGACAGCAGTCTGAACAAAAAATACCAGAATATGCAATGTTGGCAGCTACCAGATTGGGAAAATAACCCCCAGAATTTCAGAGCAGTCAGTGAAGCAGCCACGTCCACCCAGGCGTGTGGTGCTGCCAGCAAAGTACCGAGCGACTCTGCAGATCTAGCAGGAAGAAATCCATGCTACCTTCTCCATAACGTGCGTTTTGTAAGGACTAAAGATAACAGCTTTTAGAAACCACAAAAAAATTATATTTACACACACAAAGAAATAAGGCAGATTCAAAATACAGTTATTTGATCCCAGCAACGAAGACTATTGAAATTCCACGAGAAATAATAGCTGCTCACGTCGTGCAAGGAGTAACCAAGAACATTACCAACGAGCTTTTCTGAAAGGAGAAGGCAAATACTTTGTCATTTAAACATTTCTAATTCCCAGCACTCATGTCAACGTTACCCGTAAGTCTCTTCTCTTCCAGGTCACTGGCAAACGGCAGGAAAACAGGGATCTTATTTAACATCAGAAAGGTGTAAATACCTCAAACATCAGCATCGCAGCATTTTGTGGAGATTAGGAAAAAAAACCAAAACCCTCGGTGGATTTTCTCTGCGACTCCTACAGTAGATAAGTACACTGCTATAAACCCCAACTTTTAAAAATCCGATTTTTCATGTATTTCAGAGCAGGGGGATCCCCCAACTTCAGGCTTTCATGATTAACCCATCTGTGGCACCCGTGCAGTTCCAGTGAATGAAGACAGTAGGGCTCTATATACTTTGAGTCCTTCATTAAACTATTGATCCCCTCGGCATTATCCATAATGTTCCAGCAGCTCAGCACGTCAACCGATGCAGAGCTCGCTGCTCTCTCCTTTCAATAACTTCCACACTTTATGGGGAGGAAGTCACAATGATTTATTTACCTGACATTTCCCGGTCCGGATGTCGTAGAGGGCCACTGAACCATGGCGAGCTCCCACTGCTATTCTGTGACTCCGCTCGTAATAGCTGACCATGTAGAACCTGAATGGAACATTATAACAAGTAACAGGTGAGATCTGACCTGCCTGCATGATGTTAAAATTAATTTGCAATGCCACTGGGTAATTAACATTACTGCTAGAACAGAGATTTGATTTAAAAATCCATCAGCTGCCCGTTCTCGTACTTGGCACTCAGCAAAGCCAACGGATGGTTGATACGTTACCGCAGAATCGTATCGGGTTTATTTTGTTCCATTACACAGCGCTGAACACCTCCGTTGGGTTGGGGGATCACCTGTGTGCTAATCACCAGCACCCAGAAGGTCCACGTGCGCGTCTTGTTTACACCACAGTAATGCCGGGTGTCAAACCAGGGGTTAAACAGGACAACCCTAACACTCCGAATCATTTCAAAGCACTCTTCCTTGAAAATCAAGTAAGAAAGAATGGGAGAAAGCATTGGGAAAAATAGGCAAACTCATAAATTGTTGTTTGGCATCGGGGGGGGGAAGGAAAATTTATCAAACCACTCTAATTAATAACATCCTTCGGGTGAAGAGGAATTGAGAAGCGTGCAATAGTCCTTAATGTTCAGGCACCGGTTTGAATTCAAACAACGGCAAAATTCACAGAATTTCTACACCTCGAAACACAAGAGAGTCAAAATCCTTATTTCAAATTCAAATCTTTGGGAATGCCTCTGTGCCCTTCTTCTAAAGGGGGAGCAGACCTGTGCAAACTGCCAACAGCGTTTCCAATTAAATTTTAATTTTACGGGTAGATTTTACTACAACAACACCTGCCAAGAGATTTCTAGAATCAGTCTATAAAAATGTGTTGCTGACCAGATTTATTGCTTCAAACAACAAATCTTACAATGATCTATCTCTCCTTGTTCTTCAGCATTCCCAGAGTGCCATAGCAACTGCTCTCACACAGGTATGATATACTCGTCTCTGCAGCGCAGGATAGCAGTCAGGAGGAAAACCAGCACAAAATGTGGTGTTAAAAAAAAAAAAAAAAAAAAAAAGAAAATCGCTCGTTGTTGTGCAGGAGAAAGCTCAGATGCACTTTTGTGTGCACCTCATCGCTGCCTACAACTGCCTGAGAGGAGGGGGGAGCCGGGGGGGTCGGGCTCTGCTCCCAGGGAAGGGGCGATGGGACGAGGGGCACCGGCCTCAAGTTGTGCCAGGGGCAATGTGGAGCAATGCCTTCCCCTTGGGGCTGTCAGGGGCTGGAAGGGGCTGCCCAGGGAAGGGGTCGAGTCCTCATCCCTGGGGGGATTTAACAGCCGGGCAGAGGCGGTGCTGAGGGGCAGGGTTTGGGGGTGGACAGGTACGGTTGGGCTCGATGATCTTAAAGGGCTTTTCCAACCAAACGACTCTGATCCCTGTCCATCCATGCCCACCATCCCTCCCTGGCAGCCACTTTCCGTTTTGCTCTCGACTCTCAGGCACCTTCCATGACCTGTCTTCTCTTGCCCTTGCCCTTGATCTCCCGAGGTCCCTTCCAACCCTTGCCATGCTGTGACTCCCCATCCAAAACCTCCCACGAGCTCCTGTCCCCTCCCACTGGAAGGAAGGAGGGCCACCCGTGTGGGGCAGGTGCCCGTCCTCGTGGTGGAGGGGGGCAGAGGTGGGGGGGCCCCCCAGGCGCTGCCCCCCAGCACCCACAGCCGGGTGCCTTGGGCCGGGCTCGCCAGCTGCACCGGCACAAAGACGGGGCTGCAGCGGAGGGACGCAGGCGGCTTCAAGCAAGAGCAAAGGGAAGGCGCCGACCGCCAAAGACCCGGCAGCTCTGCCGGCAATTCCCCCTCCAGAGGACAAGAGCAAGACAAAGCCCACCTGGGCTACACACCGGTTACTCCTCAGCTAGCTCTTACTCTCCCTGGCACGGCCAACCAGGACCCCAAAGCCAGCCAAGCCGTACCTACCGGCCACCCTCCCTCCCCAAAGCGTGCAAGAAGGATGCCAGGCAGCTTTCGACACCCCCTTTTCTTGGGATATGGAAATCTTCCCAGGCCACATACCATCTCTGTCACTGTCTTCTGCAGCCAGCATCTGCCTCACCAATCTGCTTTTTGTGTTCCTTTGGTCAGTGGCGGCCACACAGCTTATTTATTTATTACTAAGTAATAACAATAACAAGACGAAAAAAAGGAATGCTTCAAAAAAAATCAAAAGCTGTTGGTAAATAGCTAGGGAGGAGGAAAGGCAGGAGGCGGTCACGAGAAAAAAGAAGAGAGGTAATGCTGTGGGCAAGCAGGCACCCACCGGGCTGAAATACACGGGGAATAACCCAGGGGACCATAAGAAGTGAGCATTCGCATTTTTCCCCGTTTCACGTCAAACCGCAAACCCCCGCACAATTAAAGCGGAGCCTCAGGTGAGCTGGGAGGGGGCTATTTTTAAGGCTATTTCATACAACCAGCAAACTCGGGATCTAGATATAAACTTATAAAAAAACACCGCTTGATTGTCGCAAGTCAAATGGCTACAACAGAAAGTTTCTGTATAAGCCACTTTATATCCCCATTAATTCTATCCCCCTACTGAACGGGCAGAGTCTGCTTGTCTCCTCCAACAGATTTCGAAAGGGAATATCACATACTACTCTGTGTAAGCAAACAGCATTTCCCTCCTTACTGCATTTAAATGCCCATTTAGACAGAGTGCCGAGTCAGTATTTTACTTTGAAAAGAAGGATCCATCAGACCACGTAACAACAGAGGGTTTGGGGGAAAACAGCTTCAAGGAAACAGATGGGTTTGAGCTTAATTTTCTAAAAAAAAAATAATTACTCCTTAAACTGACATTCAGTTGTCAGCTCTTCGGCCTCACTCTTTACCTTTTAGTTAGCTTAGCGTTGTTACCACCACACAGATTGAAATATTTTAATCCTTTGCATCCCTCCCTCGACGTCTGTATGGCAGAGTTCGATAGAGAATGATGCGCCAGCATATATTTAGACTATCCTACAAATCCATTTTTGCAAGCCTAGCTGGTGCATCCATATCCGCAGTCGGCATCTTAAGGGAGACCCTTGCTCGCAGCGCTGCCCCGTTACCGCTCCGCAGGGAAACCTCCGGCGGCCAGCAGGCCACTTCCAGCTTTTGGGGGGACTCTGCTGGACCCGACGGAGTCGTGCTGCTACCGTGGGCACCAGCTAATCCCCCGTGGGCAGGGGGGAGCTGTGACACGCAGCCTCCTCTCCTACCTTTCCCAAATGAAACCTGGGTAAGTAAAGGTCCGCTCAGCCAGCTGGGTTAAGGTCTCGTTAGGAAAATGATCTTTCCCGTTCCACCAAACACCAGCAAGCACACTGGCCAGCTGGAAACGGGGCTGCCGGGGGTGCCTCGCCTTCCACCTGATACCGGAGAAGCAGCAGCAGCAACGCTGTGGTTCAGTGAGGCCCCACCGACTGTTTCAAAATGTGAATATAGCCCTAGAAAACACTTGTTATTTTCAATTTAATCTATCTTCCCGCGGGAGACTGTGCCGTTACACAGACCGCTGTAACCCAGCAGCCTGGACTAAATACACGACCTGCCCAAGCAGCGCCCGGCAGGGACCGCTCCGCTGCAAGGCAACTGCTGAATCTGGAAAATGCTCGAGTCAAACAGAATTTTGCAGCCTTCAGTATTATCCTTCACTATTCTAGAGAAATTCAGAAATATTTCATATTCATTGCATTGTACTTCAATACTGGTTTTATTTTGCTAAGAAATGGGTTTGCATAGAGCGTGCCAAAAGGGATTACGATCCTCTGTAAAGAGTAACACTTACGGGAAAGGCAAATAGACACCATATCGCATGCTGTGATACCCCAAAATACCCACAGCAATGGATTTCCCTCATTACCACCCATCAGGATCAAGTCACGCTCACAGCGATTAACGGCACGACTGCTACATTTGGACAACGGTAAAAAACCCTTGAAAACCCGAGCGGAACGATAGTCAGGTACTTTAACCCAGCACGCTGCTGCTCCCAGCCCCGGAGGCAAGTACATCTTGCGGGAGCCACGGCCAACCAGCGTGGAGCTGCAGACTGTCTCAGCCAACTGCCTGCGCAAGAGCCGCCGGGAGGAGGAGGAGGAGGAGGAGGAAGAGCTTGCACACCAAGCACTGGGGCACCCGGCTGATTCGGCCACAAGAGGGGTGCACGTAAGGCAGCACAGCGCTGCCACGTTAGAAGAATTAACCACGGGATTACATCCTAGTGCTGCCACTTGGCATCTCTCCAGAGATTCAACCATTTGCTAAAAACCTGATGCAGAGGTCCACCGGGCTGAACGATCACATCGGTGGGGTGCTGTATCATTTTTACAATGGCTATAACTATGTAGAAGAGGCAACATTACCAGGAGTTTAAACAAAATCTTAAGATAATCTATCACTATAAAAATACAACAGGAATAGGGAGATTTTTGCACTAATTCCCACTTACCCTGGCATTTCTATTTTAAGGCAAGCCTTTTAGAGTGGGAGGAAGAGGGAAGATTGCCCCTATCAGTATTCTACCTGTCAACAGGGTAATTGTTCCTTTCTTAAAACTCTTCAATATTTTAATAGCTTATTAAATTAAAAGGTAACGGTCAACAGATGATTATTATAATTTACTGGTTGTAGCAGTTTAATAGCATAACTGCACTATTTATCACAGTAAAAGATACTGTAAATGTTCCCATTTTATAAATCACATTTGACTAAGTAAAAGTGCCGTTGAAGGGTGCAGTAGAACCAGCCCGAGACAAAGACGACGGGCGATGCTCAGCTCCCACCGACGGGCAGCGGGGGCCGGTGGCTGAGCTGCCCCCCGTGCCTCCTGGCGCCCTCCGAACGGCCGGGTCACCAACAACGCGAGCACAAGACAGCCACCGCGTTTCTCTTCCCCTTGGATTTTGTGCAGATGTGTCCCGGTGGTTTTGCCGAGCTGCCTGTCGCCACCGATGGAGAGCTTTAAATGCTGCCGAAGCCATTTCCGCACGCCGCCGAGCACGGGGCGGCTCGAAGCGACCAGCAGCACGCCCTATGCTTTGCAAGGTTTCATTGCAATTGAATCTCCGGCGTCCAGCGCGAGCGTCCCAAAAATGTTTTACAACCTGGGGAGAGGGCAGCCTCCTCCCGTGAGGGCGAGGGTGCTACTCGCTGCCGATGGCAGCAATTCTGGGGTGCAACCGGCTCCCTCGACGGGTGCCTGGGAGACACTCACAGGGCAGAGAAAGCCAGGCCCGGTTCCAGGACGGCTTTGGTACTTTCTGTTTCTCACCATCTCCGTTTCACTGCCCTTTCCCGCGGGACGGCACTGCTACGCACCGGTGCAAACCGCTCAGAAGGAGCTGGAAGAGCCTGGTTGGGAGATGATCTCCGATAACTACGCCCTACTGCCAGCCGCTAGGCGGATTGCAGCAGTTAGCTATTGCCATAAAGGCAGTAACATATATTATCAAAATTCTCCGTTAGAGGATGTTTCTGGGAACAAAACAGTCAGGCTTAAGCTTCCTAAGAATGAAGAGTTTATCAGCTCTTTGGCTGGGCTCCTGGCACGAGAGCGTGCTTTGCTGAAGGGACGTGCTGCTGACAACACACCTTGACGTGCAAGTCAAGAGCTGCTGCCTCGAGAAGCCCTGGGTCCTCAGCACACCGGGAAATCTCACCCAGGCTCGGTCTGAACGTACCAATGGCCAGCAGTGGGCTGCAAGGCGTTGATGCAAGCCCCCCGACACAA